ATATAATGTTAGGTTACATCTGAATCGGACCATAAACTTTACATTTGTGGCGCTAGAGCTATCAAATCACTCACCTAATTGTATCTCGTTTATTGAATTGCTTAAACTAATTGACTAATTACCCTAGTTATACTAAGCACTAAATTTCATATTATGACAAAAGTATCTATCCTACAAAAAAAATAACAGTAAACAACAAAAATGTTTAGAAGTTGGAATGATGATAATTACTTACGACGAGAATGAAAACGATACCGATATACGAAAGCAATAGACATATATACATATATACATACAAAAATCGGTGGATGTAGATATCGTGACATGATAAAAGATACTTAAGATTGGATTAGACCTTCCCTCCATAATATCACGATTTTAATACACTTAACATATATAACCCTTGACACTGTTTCATGTTACTTTTTCTGGGTCCACTGAAAATTATTAATTAATACAGAGACAGTTGATATTGACCGGTGCTAAAATGTCTAAATTTAATTATCCTTAAGCTTCTAACTAGGATTAATCGGGGGAGATGTGTCTTTAGTCAAGTGGTTAAGTCTATTTAACACTATTTTCCTCACCGGAGTTCGATTCCGTTAAATCACGTTATCCCGCATAGTAGGAATTGGTTATGGATCGGGCCTTGTCGATCCAAAGATTAAAAAAAAAAAAAAAAAACTAGGATTAATCGGGGATATGTCTTTAGTCAAGTGGTTAAATCCATTTGACTCCGCCTTTTCCACCGGAGTTCGATTCCACTAAATCGCGTTACCCCGGGTAGTAGGGATTGGCTATGGATCGGGTCTTGTCGATCCACATATGTCAAAAAAAAAAAAAAAAACTAGGATTAATCATAAATGTATTTTTGAAAATATAATAAGTTTTCCATGATATTACCGCATTGCATAAAGTGCTTAATATAAATAAGTCAAACTGAATCAGTACAAAAATTGAAAATCAATCTGAAAAGCGAATCCTATACTATTATTTGGGGAGTACACTTTATAAGATATCTTTAACTAACCTTCTCTTTTGTAAAAATTTACTTAAGAATGCCATTAGAGATAAAATTTCAAAGAATAAATTAATTCATCTCATTAAGGATAAACAAGTCAATTTATACCATTTAATTAATTTAATTTAATTATAAAAACGAAAAATACATTATTATTATTTTAAAATGACCAATCAAAATAAATATATAAGATTTGATATCTAACTTACCTTATTAATTTGTTATTAATCATTATATTTCACCTCTCATCTTTATATGAAACAAATAAATCATTATATCATCCATATAATAATAAAAAATAGATTTTTTTTCCGCATATGCCATGATTTGAATTTTTAAAAACGAATATAAATTATTCAATTTATGAAAAAAAAAATTTAATGAATCAAAAATTTTGACTTGGATAATATATTTCTTTTAAACAAAAATAAATTCAACAAAAATTCCGCCTGAATAACGGGTCAGAATTTGAATTATATTCAATTTCTTATATTTTTTTAAAAATATATAATTTTATATACTACGATAAAATTTTACAATATTTCAATTTGGAATATTTAAAAATAGTTTGACTTGATATTTAAAAACAAATATCATCAATACTTAATAAAATAAAAAATTTAAACATTAGACCTACACTAATTTGGTTTTCCTAAAACAAATATATTTACCACATATTTATAATAGACGGTGGGTTAACTATAATGTCTCATATGATGGAATGAGTTATGATCCTTACA